AAACTCGTGCCCTGTTTTCTGAAGTTATTTAAAAAAAACAACAAAGAAAACTTTAGCCCTTTACAAATCCTCATTAGGCCTGGAACCTTCGTTCTGCTAGAAATCTCATTCAGAGGAGCCAACCTATTACTCCAGCCACTCTTTCTAAATTGAAGCTAACAGCCAGAAATTCAAAGGCCCTGATTTTCCACAGCATCCGAATGCAGCTCAGATGTGCTGGAGAATGGCAGTGGCAGTGAATCAGTTGAGGTTCTCCCGATTCAGGGCTACCAACTCCCAGGGTAAGTTAAAGCAAGAGAGGTCCTGCTGCAACTTACGCTGCTGGCAGAACATCCCTTACAACAGCAGAGGTTCAAGTGTAGTTGAGCTCTGCTCTTCCACACCTCCTCTCCCCTCCACCTCCAGGCTTCCTCCCATCCTTTTACACCAGTAATGGGACATGGGGACAGATGAGGGGGTCTGTGCCATCTCCAGCAACTGTGTGCTAGTGGACATTCACCCTACACAGGAAGACTTCTCTGCTGGGAACCTTTTACCTATTTTAGGGCACTTTGCCCTGCACACATCCAGCTCACACATTTTAAGGCCAGAAGGTAGCATTTTGAGCTGACCTCTTGCATAATACACGCCATAGATTTCACCCAGGGACTTCTGCAAGCCCAATAATTTGTGTTTGTGCTAAAGCATGGTCTTTCAGAAAGACAGCCAATTTTGGTTTAAAAGACAGAAGATTTACACAGCTCTTGTTATTAAAACCAGAGATGCCACACACTGGAAACAGAAGATTCTATTCCTCCAGGACAAAAAATTTCAAACCTGGACGCCTAAATTTAGGATTCTAAACCCATATTTTGGCATTTCAATAGAGTGCATGGTTTTATAGACTCTGAGCAACCCAAGCTCCCATTGAAATCTATAGGTTTGAAAACTGTGGCTTATAAATTTATAGATTTATCTTCCCACCGTGGTTTAGTCATTTTAATGTAGTCTATTCACAGAGGAGAGGGGGGAAAAACATGTCCCGCAGATATCATTGCTATATTACTCCTTGGATTGGCTGCTATTTAGGAAGTGCCGAGGTCTCCTTCTCCTCATCACCCCGCCCCTGCCCAAATAAAACTGCTAGCCTAATAACTATCTTAGCCTTTGATTTTATAATGCACAGCATTGATTTTTTTTTTTTTAAAGGAATTTAACAGTGTCTTTCACTCCAGCCTACAATGCTTTATGTCTTATGTTACAAGATTTTGCAGCCAAGGGGAAAAAGTTTTCTTGCTTCAGAAAAGCAGGAAAAGGAACAAATAAGTCTACTGCCCAAAAATCCTAAAAATCTACACATATAAACAATAATCCATTTCCAAAGAACACAGATTTCTTAAATTCGGCAAACAGAGTGTCTGTGCTGCATTTACACAGAGCCATGTTCATTCATCACTTTCAAGTCTGATTACCAAGCCATTTCCTGTTGGCAACCTCTAATGGCCAGAAGAATTAGATTTTACATAGTCCGGATACCAAGGAATAACAAGTACCCATAATTCTCTGCAGCTATGCACTTTGTTAAGAGTTTTAAGCTTTGAAAGGGGAAAGGATTACTTGGAACCAAACATTCCTTGCTCACTATTGTATCTGGACCAGTAATGTGTTTCTGACCTTAATGTCGTAGTCTTTTCTGCAAACAGTCATAACACCATTTTACAGACGTTAGAAAAAAACATAACTAGCTAATGGAACCTAGAGTTAGTCAGAACCATGGAATGATGGAAAACATCTATTATGTCATCTAGTCCTTCTCTCTGCCAGTGCTCTTTGTACATAAATTTGTGGTTTGTCCAGTTTTGTTTAATATGTGCCAAGCAATAACCTGCCACTACTTTCCCATGCGACTGTTCTACAGCATACGAGATCTCACTGTCAAAAAAATGTTTTTCAGCAGAAGTTTTCCCTTTCTTAATTTAATTTCATTATTCTGTTCATAACCCCTTGTAATGTCCTCAGTAATTCCTCCCCAGCCTTGTTGTTTACACCCTTCACGTATTTATAGATTTATCTCCTCCCCTTCATGTGTGTCTATGGATATATATTTAAAACTCAATCTCAATCCTTCCAGCGCCTAATTTTTTTGTTTTTCTCTCTACTTCCTTTGCATTTGTTCATTAGTATATTTTGTAAAGGTAATGCAGTCTTAATAAGGAGCATTCTACAGCACTCTGCTGTAATATTAAACAATTACCAAGAACCACAGTAGGGAGCAAATGCTAGATTGCTAATCCAGAATCCCATAATTTAATACACAATGTGGAAATCACTGAGACGCAGTAACACTGCAGTACTATGTATCTTAATTTGGGCAATCATATTTATGTGAGGCATTGTCTAATAGTCTCAACAAAGGGATAGAAGGCAGGAACTTCTAAATTTTAATCCCGGTTCTAATAGTGCTTCTTGCTTTTGGGCCTTAGTCAGGTCAGTCGTTCTGCCTGAATTTTCTCATCTATAAATTGGGGAGAACACTAATTAGTTGTATTGTGAGGATTAGTTAGAAAAACTTAAGTATTATTCCATTTGTGGATACTATTTTTAACTATTCAAAAAACTACCTTAACAGTTTATGATTCCCTATGTCTGTTTATGGAGATATACTTCTGCCACACAGATGTCTCCCAGAACCAGAAGAGGTTACCTGCCTCCAAGCTCCTTGGATCTGGCTCATTTTCTGGTCAAATGGAGTCAACAAATAAGACAATTTGTAAACAGAATTTAAAAAGAGGGAAAAAATCCTTACAAAAATTGTATCATAGTATTTTGTACTGCTGAGATAGAGAAAAACAATTCAACTCACTAAGAGAAGAGGGGGACAACATAAACAGGTGTTTCCTTCAGTATGGTTAGTAATGGTACAGGAAATGGATCTCCAGAGGCTGCAAATTGTTAGCATCTCCAATGCATTTGCAAATTCCTACTGTGCAAAATCAGCCTGTAAAAACAGGCTATTTCTAATAAGTGCCTTGTCTGGTTTCCTACATTGTTTAATTTCAGATGAATTTTATGAGAACTCCGCTACATATTTTACCTCCCATCTGCTTCAGATTTGACAATGAAATATTTGTGTGTCCCACCCTGTTCTTTTTAAAGCTCCAAAAACAGATGTCTCCAATATAACATGACTACAGCAGGTCATACCACATATTTCAGCAAGTTGTCCCAGGGCGATTTTTTCCCCTGCAGGTAAGAGAAGTTGGGTTATTTACCCCCTAAAAGAATCCAGAAAACCTCAGAGCCTCAGGGCGTAGACTGAAAAGGCTGGTTAAAAAATTACTGTGCTTTATTCTTCAAAAAAAAAGTTTCTTCTTGCTGAAGTAGATTTTCTAAACATTAAATACATTAACAATTCTATAATGGGTAGATTTGTTATTTTGGCTTTCTTCCAAGACACATTTTTTGCACATCTATTGTGATAAGAAGGCTGGTGATTCTAATGATTTATTAGGGTACTGTTAACATTTCTAGAAAGTTTACAAATTTTCTAGTTGCAGAAATTATATATTGAGAGGGAGACTGATGGGGAAGCCTTGTACCATGTGCCAACTTTCGAAATTTCAGGAGAAAATACGGATTTATTTGTAAATGATTTTAGAATATAGCTGTATTCAACACAAGTTACCACCACACACTAAACAATGTATTGAAACTGATGAAGAGTCCCACTGACATCTTTTATCCTTGTCTTCCCATTTTGCTGGTATCCTCTACAGAAACTGGTATGGATACACAGTCTGCTACTTCTCTCACCGAAGTCAAACTCTTAGTTTAAGTCTACCTAGAGAGCCTATGCCAGTATAGCTATGCTGGCAGAGTCCCTTGAGTAGATACAGCTTATGCCAACAGAAAGGAGTTTTTCTGCAGGTGTAGGAACACTACCTCCCTGAACAATGTTACCTATGCTGACAGAAGCGGGTTTCTGTCAGCATGGCTGCATCTACTCTGGGGGCTTTGTCGACACTAATGTCACTAGAGGTGGGTGTTTTCCCCACACACACACACACTCCTGACCAACACTGCTGTGCTGGTAAAAGTTTTAAGTGTAAACCAGGCCTTATTGGCAACACTTGGGGCTAGTATGATCATAATAAAAGTACCGCCCAGTAAGTTGATTGGATTTGTATGAATGAGGAGAAGGTAACATGCAACAAGTACCACACAGGCTACTAATGAGAAGAAATTGTTTTAAATATTTTAAACCATAGCAAATCTAATTGCACAAGCTTAAGTTATAAGAGGAAGTAGGTACATTTGAAAAAAATATACTATTTCTACTGAAATAAGGAAGTAAATTACACCAACTGAAAACTTCTACCCTTCTTTAGCAGGGCAAACTTCTGAACTCTCTTTGGTTTAGTGCAAGACGTTATGAAAAGATTGTTAGCATTATTGCTCAGCAACACAGGATTTTTTCACTTTACATTTTAAGGACATAGATGCTTCGAAATCATTCCATCAAGGCCCCAATCCAGCAAAGCACCTCAACTGGACTTCGGTGGAATTACTCTGCTGCTTAAATTCAGACTTATGACTGAAATAAGGAAGTAAATTACACCAACTAAAAACTTCTACCCTTCTTTAGCAGGACAAACTTCTGAACTCTCTTTGGTTTAGTGCAATTAATGGAACTCAGAGATGAGCAATGGACAAGACCTGATACTAAATAGCAGGTAGTCCAGATCCCTGCCATTGAAGGGAACTGAAGTATATGGAGTTGGTCTGCAGAATCTTTATTACTGGTAATGATGTGAGAAAAGAAGAAACCACCACCTTGCCTTCAGATGCCAGGTTGAGTATGCTGGACTGGCAGTGATGAAAGAACTCCTTTTACTTGAAAAGGGTACACATATGATATGGAATCATAGAAAGACAAACCTGGGATCTCAACAAATCCATTTCTAAAGTCACTTATCAGAACAGAAATGAACGTTGAGTATTTTTGTAGAAGTATTCCTTACCTCCCTCTTTCAACTGCCAAGGCATCTATTTCATCAAAGAAAAGAATGGAAGGTGAGACAGCTCTGGCTTTCCTGAAGATCTAGAGAAACAACAATAAAATAGTTTACTGGGCTGTGGGAGAATTGCTGGACAAAAGTCATGCATTCAAACACCCTATTCTAACTCCAAAAGCTAACGGGCCAAGAATAACATCTTGTAGCCGCTTTTTAAAAGTGGACTTACTTTGGAGCTAAGTTATATCATACTATATAATGTAGCTTCAATAGCAACTTTCACTGTAAGCCTGATTTTGACACACCCCACTAACTTTCTAAAAGCAAAAAGCAAATAAAAACACAAAGAAAGCAAACAAAACTCAAAATCAAAAAAATTTCATTTCTCCTCAAAATCCCTGGTCAAAGGGAGAGTGGGTTTTTTTGTTTGGTTAGGGTTTTTTTTGAAAGCTTAAGGTTAACCAGACAATGTATTATTAACATAGGAGAGATTGAAAAATGAGCATAGATCCAGCACAACATGCAATGGGCCCTGACACGCAACTAGCATCTTCTTACCTCTCTCACTGCTCGTTCAGATTCACCAACATATTTATTCATCAATTCAGGTCCCTGCATGAAGAGAAGAAAACAGTTTTTTAAAATTATCATTCTAACTTCATTTACTGATATGTCGCTATCAATATCTTCTTACACAGCATTTTGTGCATAAAACACTAAATCACTACTTGCAAAAGTTTTAATTTCTTTGTAGAGTCGCCTCTGCACACAAAGTTTCCCTTCATTAGTCCCATTACTGAATACACAGATGACTGTGTGTTTGTAGGTCAGGTTATAGTGACATTTATTCTCATTTAGAAGCTGCGTGAAGATTTTGGCTTAGCATCATAATTCCTACATTTCAGTTTTATGAGGAACAGAAGCGTTTAAAAAAAATTAAAGTACAGTTTACTGATCACGAAGGCTACTTGACTGACAGCATTGCAGGGACCCCAATTCAGCAGAAAAGCACTTGCGCATGTGTTAATTAACTGTCTCTTTTTAACAAAACTCCTAAGCATGGGATTAACTTTAAATACATGCTTAAGTGGTTTGCTGAACCAGAGCAGGAAGAGGAAATTGCCACCTATTGCCCCACCAACACACCTGAAACATAACCAGGAGGTACTAGATCATACATTATGGTGAGAAAGTAGTTCAGAATTCAAGTCCATTCATTCTTTTACCTCTCTGCTAAAACTGCCAAATGTGCTGGTGCTTTTTGTAATGTGGATTCTTGGCCCCTAGGGATTGAACTGAGACCACAAAGTCAATGTTTGTATTTTAAACAAATACTTACAATTATGAAAACAAACTAACAAGGAAGAACTCTCAATGCCTTCTGTGTCTTGCTATTTACTGTAAACCAGATTGTTAAAGATAACACTTCTTAATGGGACTAAGCATTTCATGGGATTGGTAATAAGTCATTGATTTAAATCTGGTCTATGTCAACAACAATTTACAGTCATGACCATCTGATGGCTGCTTGCTGTTCTGTGTGAAATGAGTTGATGGCTGCAGTCCAGTTTCTAGTGAACAGGTGTTCTCATCACAATTCTGCCAGTACAAATAGCATTCTTCACAACTCTACACAGAGAAGCCAATGGGTGTGGAAACTGAACTACCTTTTCATGCCCAGATGTTATGAGTGCCTTCAGGTTACGCTTGAGTCACAGTGGCAGGGCAATATGGAACAGCTTTCTTTAAACAATAGTCTTTCTAGCATTAATTTGTACTGAAAGACATGTTTTTATTATATTTGCAGTAATGGTGCAGCTGTTACATTCTTTCTCTGAGTGGAACAGTCTGGAATTAGTACACACATCAATATAAGATGGGTTTACTACTATAAAATAGAACATGTGACACTTTTCCAATCTTCTCCACTCTCACTTTCAGGCTTGTGATAGCATCTACTGAATGGAACATATATTGTAGTTGGTTCCATTCTAAAGGATCAGTGCGAGTTACTGCATGCGTATGGAGAGAGGTACAGACCGCCTTAAAACTGAAGCAATATACTGTTTATGTGACAAATTAAAAACACACAGTTTCTGGTAGTGCAATTTCTGAAAACAGTTCATGACACAAAGTAGAAGGTGGGATGAATGCATACTCAGACCTCTCTGTATAACACATTAGGCCTAACTAGGTTAGCACATCAGCTTGGTAGGAGAGTAGAGGGTACCATGCCAGCAGGAAATAGAAACAATGCTTCCCCAATTCAACTCCCTTTAAATGACTGCTGTGATAGGCACAAGTCAAAATGTCACCTAGACGCTTTGCAGGATTTCAACCATTTGAAAAATTATATTTTCATGCAGGTATTCAGCAGTCTCAAATTTCCCAGTCACGTAACTGATGAAGAGCTCAGGATTCCTCTATCCCAGAGAAGAAAAAGAACAAAAACGGGCCTTCCCCTATTCATTGTAAATACCAAGAAAAAGAAGCATGCAGCAGTCTGTGCAGAACAGGCTTGTAGCTCAAGGAGACAGTATCTAGCTGCTCTGGGCCTCAGCTATCCATCATGATCATTTGCAGATGAGGAATCTGATAATGTGGGTCCAAGAAGTCCTTAAGTGACTAGAAAGGCAGTTCTCTCTTTCTGGCCTGCTTTTTTGTTTAAACCAAGCCGATACACTGAAAAACCTCATCAGATTCTTTCCAGGACTAGAGATTTCTTTTCCATAGTTTTTTCCTTGGAGCGGTGAACGCAGTCCATCAAACACTCATTCACAGAAGTAATCTTCATTTACATCAGCAGTCTCATTGAAGCCAACAGGGCTACTGACATCAGTGGCATTACCGGATTCTATTATAGTATGCATCAAAATTACAGACAATATCAAATTGTCAGAGTATTCCTTTTCATGTCTCTGACTGGGAAAAAAGGTATTTAAAAACAAAAATTGCTACCTCTGAACTCTGCTGTACAATAGCATTTCATGTGCTTGAAGATTATATTTAAGTATTAAAAAAAATCAAGACAAACACAAAGCAATAAATTTCTTCCACAGAGGAAGAAATGTTTTGAATTAGTGCTTTTTTAGTATACTTTGACATTCAACTCCCCCCCCCCGGCATTTTTTTATTTATCAAACAATAACACAAGTTGACAGAGAAAATCAAAGGATGGAACTCTCTTTGCATTAACAGTCTATGCATCCTTTATGGAGTATTTCCATGCAAGCTGATCAAAAAGCTTGTGTAACTCATCTTTTAACAATGGCACCAAAATTACAATTCATGAGCAGGGTTTTTGTTGCAAGTAACATGGAACTCTACTATTATACATGGTGATGGGGAGTCCAGAATAGCAGTAAGAACACACCAAAAAGGAGACGCGCTGGCAGAAACTTCATCTTATCCACACTCCAAAGTCACACTCCTAAATCCATACCACAAAAAACAGAGCTTAAAGAAGCTAGGCATACAAACTGGACTTGGGTTAGCTCTGATATGCAAGCTGGAGCTTTGCCCCCACCGTTTGAAAATGCAAATGAAGGAGTATTGAGTCTTTCCTCAGCTAAGATTGTTAACACCTCCAAAAAGTAATCATTAGACCATTAGCAACAAAGCTACCTGTTGACAGTTTTCACCCTTTTCTTGAAAGATGGTTAAGAAGACTATATTGCAACAACTCTGCTGTCACTTAAGGCTCTTACATGTCTTCTATTCATTTCAGCTTTGCTTTAGACCTGGCTGACACAGATTGCACAAATCTCATGGATTGATAGTCTCCTGACCACTGACCTATGTCATGCAGTGTCCATGACATTTCTTTTAAATTGGCCAGCAGCCTTTGACCACTGACCACAAGGTTTTGTTAACAACTGTTAGAGTTTAGTGACTTACTCTATAAATAGTTACATTCTGTTCTACGAAGGATGATCTTCCACAATATGGTAGGTGAAGAAACAGAACATACTCCTGACCAATCTCCTGACGAATTTCAACATAAGCAAAGGATTTGGAGAAAGCAGTTTTCAGGGAACGAGAAGGAGTGGTATCAGAGCCATTCCAATGAGCAGAACATTTTGAGGTTGCTATCTAGCCTGAGAGCATGAATCCAGCCAATTGCGGGACACTGTTCACTGCTCAAATATCCATGAAGTGGTATTTATTCAGCCTCAGGATAGACAACAGTTTCCATGTAGGCTTTGTTTGATTAATATTCTGTTCTCACCAACCCAAAACCCTCCAATCATTTTCATTAAAAAAAAGAAACATTCTTGCATTTGAAATATGATCAGAATTAGATCTTGGAAGATTAACGTCACAAAAGATAAAACCGCTTCATGCATGTTAAAAACAGGAGATAAGTTTGTATCACACAGTTATGATGTGGGTGCTTTAAGAAGTTTTTAAATGCAAGAACATCATCTGGAATAAGGAATCCTTGAAACAAAGACAAGTAGTATTTTTAAAAAAAAAATCCCTATTTTATGGTCTGTTTGAGGATTTTACCTCCTAAAGGTGTTGGGGTAATTACCTTGACGTTAATATGAAATTTACTAGTAATAAATGTCTCCTTAACACATCTAACTTTATTGTTTTGATAGTCAGGAAAATGGAAAACTTGCAGAGCCAGATGGACACTGTTCCAAATTCTCCCCCACACAACTCTGTCCATCTTTATATTGTAGTTCTGGAAACAATCGCACGAAGTGCCACACTGAACAGTGTTAAACTATGGCGTGTGGTTCATATAATGAGTACCACAATGGAACCACTGAGCTCATTTATACTAGATCCCCATGCAGGAACCTAATTGAGGTCCCTAGAATAGTATTTCTGAAATTGTGAGGCTTGGCCTTCCTGGGGAAGGTTTCCCTTCTTCAGGGGAAGAGATAGTATTCAAGCAGAATAAAAACCAAGAATAACTTCACTTTTTTAGGTTCTTCCAAAACCAGAACAGAATAACCAATACTGAAAACTAAATATTCAATACCTGGTTTCTTATTTGCAGAGTTCAAAGTAGAAATGGTCAACAGGTATGAAAATATAGGCACCCTTACTTGTCTACGTAAGAGGAGGTGAAAGGAGGAGGAGGGTTTGCCATAATGGCTCCCAGTTCACCAACCCCCCCCCCCGCCCCACTAAGGTAATGGCAAGAAGGAACGCCATTCAGAAAGAGGAGAGAGAGATGAGACAGGATGCCAGTGGTTCAAAGGAAGAGTTCATTAAAGAGGTAAGGACTAGGTTGAGGTCCCATTGGGAAGTGATAGGCTGAAGGGGCGGATATTTACAGAAAAGGCCCTTCCAGAATTGGGTGGGTAAAAGTCAAATTTCCTGCCACCGGAGGATGGAGAGCACTAATGGCATCTGTATGCACTCTGACAGAGCTGAGTGTGAGTCCTGAGGTTTTCAGATAGAGGAAATAGTCTAAGAGCATGAGGATGCCCACAGCTTCAAGGGCAAGACCTTGCTGTTAGGCCCAGGAGGTGAAACATGCCAATTTGGCCTGATAGAATCACCTCATGGAGTCCTTTCAGCTACTGGAGAGGACGTCTTGCACTGTCAACGAGCATTCTCGTGCTAATGCAGGTGTCCATCAAAAAATCATGCCC